AGCATGCAGTTACCGCATACCTTCAAAGATGTACTTCCTTTGTTGAATTGCCTGCTTGGTTCACACTAGATGCGATTTAAAATTGCGCTTTTTGCTGGCAATTTTACCGTGTTTTCTGTAGATTTACCAACAAAGTATTGCGTTTTCACTTGTGTTTTGCATTGCGATTTCTATTGTAGTCTATATGGGAAATCGCTACAAAATGCAGAAAAAGTTAGACAAGAACTACTTTTGAAATTGTGCTGCAGCAAATCACATATGTTAAGACACTCACATTCACATTAATTAGATCTGATATCAGGTACAATTTCAATTCCCAAATCGCACCTGACATCACGCACCCAGGATGCAACTTGGCATGCGATTTGCATGCCCTGCAACTTGCAAATCGCATGCCAAATTGCACCGGATGTGACCAGGGGCTAACACCACAGTCACATCTAATCCAATTTGTTAATAGGCCAGCCTATTTTCAGCAAGTCCTTGCCTGTGGTGGTTTGGGGAGGAAGAGATATTGTGCTGAACTAGCCCAGACCGCACTCAGGCTGTGTTTTGATGTGGGCTGTAAATGTTTTGCATTTTTGTCCTTCTACAGTGTGTTTGTGTATTATTGTACAATGATTGTATGTTTATTATCTCTGCATTGTAATGTCAATTGCTCTGCTCTTCCAAATATGCACTTGGCTATAATTTGCTTTATTTAGACTGAAATGCAGTTATCAGATAAACCTGATGAGAAATGTATGTGTGGGGGATTTGGGGAGGTGGGAGGTGTTTTATTTTGGCACGTATTTATTTTTATATTGATATTTTGATCTGCAGCCTGTTTTGTGGATATATCATCCTACTAAGTGATGGTGTGTGTTAATTTTATGGCCCTGAAAATGTTGCTTGATTCATATTAACCTTTTTGTTTCCTGCTGTAACCTGTGAAAGCACAGTTCATTAGAAGTATAATCTTTTAGATTGTAAGCTCTTATGAGCAGGACCGTTCTATATTAGCAACATCAATCCTGCTTTTTATTTTCCCACCAAGAAATTGACTGTACCTACTTGCTGCTGTTGTCCAAATAAATGTGGAAAATGTATTTGATCAATAATTGTTTGGACTGCGTTTTTTTTGGGGGGGGGGGTATTTCATGTTCAAGTTCAGTATACTTGCACCCCTAACACTTACTTTTGATACCTATATAATATGCCCAAATCTAGCTTGTTAAAGTGCACATATGCAAGTATGTCCAAACTAACAAACCAAAAGCCCCCTATTGCACCACAAGGTGATGTTATGTACCAATGAATAGGTTGTGTTCAGTGTGGAGCTAGCTATTCTTTTTCTACAATGCTCTTAACAGTAATAAATTAGGCCCCAAATTTATGTTGACTTTGGGCCTTTACCAGCAAACATATTGTTGGAGGAGGCGCTAGAGCAGCTATCATACCGGAAATACAGAATCACGTTTGCTGGAGGACGTTCGCGCGCGCACGTGGTAGTGGGGAGTGTTAGTGGATGGGAGTGTAGTTTGAAGAGTTTAGTGTTAACTTGCAAATCTATTTTTTGGCTTTGTGAATTATTCTTTTATGGAATTCCAGACCACATCAGGACATGGCGAGATCGCCGTTCTCGACTGAGGAGCTGATCCTCATTTGCAGGGGAAACATTACTAATAATTTTATTTTCAGCTGAAAACATGTCCGATTCCTACATACATTGAGGTACATAGCAGAGGTTCAAGGTATTCCATAGAAGTTACTGTTCTTCCTAACTATACAGGTGGCACAGACACAAGCATACACCCAGGGCCACTGTTAGATATCATGGGGCCCCGTACGGCATACCTGACAGCCTCCCACCGCCAAAGAAAATATCCAAATTATATTTATGGTTAAAAAAATACACTAAAAACATTATTAATGGACGCAATCCCAACCAAATTCATGTTAAATATAAATGATAAAACTGCACTGAGTTTATAAATAAAGCTGTGTAATTGAGGTCTTGGGGCTCATTCACATGGGTGCTGTGGCCTGTAGAGTGTGAATCAGTGGTTTGTTATTGTGGCTGTCGCCGTTTGCAGGCAACCTATGTTACACTATGGAAATGCTGCAGGTCCTAATTTATCAAGCATATGGGTGCAAGTGTACAGCCCTGAACACAGACAGTGAGCATTCAGGGCCACTTCCCCACGCCTTCACACCTGTCAGATTAAAACCTGTGTTCATACAGCTGCTGTGTCCTCATAGCGAAACAGGTGGCTCCAGCCACATGAACAAACCACTTATTCATGCTGTACAGGCCAGAGGACCTGTGTGAATGTGGCATTTTTTACTTTTTTTCCCTTAATTTCAATGGGCTGCCTAACGTGTAGGAGCATGCAAAAATACTGCAGGCATATTATTTTAAAAGTGTGTTGCACCGAACCGCACAGTAGTGTGGTGCCATACGTTTTGGTGGCTGTAATTGCGTCTGTATTTACTAGACATGCGGAGGTGCAGTTAAGTTTTCATCATGGTACCTGCGCACATCTGCAGAGGGCATTGCATTTCTTTGCTGTGCAGGAAAATGCGTGCTCTTGCTTGCGTTTCTGCACCAGAAATGGTGTGAACAAGTCCTAAGGTCCAGTTCCCACTATAGAAACACAGTCTAGACGTGTTCCAGATGCGTTTTTGCATGCACTTATTTGATGCATGTTTAGCGTGTTCCAGTGCATTTTGGATGCATTTTTTTGTGTGTTCCAGTGCATTTTTTTATGCATTCCAGTAAATTTTTTCCCTCTTTTTCTCCAATTTAATTAGGGACATGTGCATTTTAGTGCGTTCCAGGGCATTTTACCGCGTTCCAGTACAGTTCCATGCATAAACAATGCAGCCTGTTTGACTTTTTTGGCAGCACCTACAATGCACTGGAACTGCAAGCGCTGATGTGAACTATGACATTGACAACCATATGACCTTCTTTCTGTGTGCTTTGGATACAGAAAAAGCAACTGAAACATGTGTAGTGTAAACTGGCCCTAAAGGTTATTATAGGAAAGGTAACGGGACTGACCAGGAATTGTGAATTCAATCAGACTAGTAGTGAGATACAATTAGGAATCTTATAATAATTCTAGATCTGAGCTGTAGGTGATAGGAAATGAGACACATTAACAAGATCACTAAATAGTTAAATAAAAAGAGTGGGGCGGTGATACATATTTTGGCAGATGGAATAAGTGATGACAGGGGGGTGGGGGAGTGGGTCAAGTTGTATAAGGAGAGAGGTTTAAGGGCTCATTCACACTTGACTTTATTTCTAACACTTGCCAAACGCCCCTATAGTTTGGCAGGCGCTTGGGAAGCGTTTTTAACGCTCCTCAAATGCTCCCCAAACTCCCTATGCACGGTTTTGAGGCATGCGTTAAAAACTGCACCACAAACGCCTATAATGAAGTTAAATGGCATTAACGCTCCGCAACTGCCTTGCAAACGCCTGCCAGGCATTTGAGGAGCGGCACCATAGACTTGAATGGGAGGGTTCAACTCCACCTGACTCGACATGAGAGGCCAGTTTTGCCGCAACGATAACGCTAATGCTTTAGTGTGAACAGCACTGTGTGCAGCCATGTGCAGAATTTTCATAGGCATTTGAGAAGCGTTTAAAAAGCTTCCCAAATGCCTGTCTGGCGCCTGCTGACAAAGCTAGTGTGAACATAGCCTAAGATAAGAGACACAAAGTTGCAATCAAATATAAACAGAAGGAAAATTGAAAGTTTCAAACTTGTCAGAAGAACAGGACGCAGGTAAGATTCACTCCCTTTCCACTTTCTAGTCAGTAGCCAAAATCTTCATTGATTGATCAATATTCCTGGCAATGACAGAACTGTGGAAATGGACCTCCACATTTTGTCCATTCACAATAGTCTGTAATGTCAAGGAGTTTACAATCTAAGGCCAGAAACTCGGACATATACTAGGCCCAATTAACCTAACAGCATGTCTTTGGAGTGTTAGCAGAAACACACCTGTACAGAAAAAGCATGCAAACTCCAGACAGGTGCAGCCATGACTGGGATTAGAACTCATGACCCGAGTGCTGTAAGTTCTGAGTACTAACCACTAAGCCACTGTAGGAGACAGAGTTTGAGCTGGAATGTAGAATAGTTACATGATTAAAGAGAATGAAGATATATAATTATATTGGGAACTTAGAACTAGACATTCAAATTATTTGCGATATAAGTGTGTAAATGTTTGACATTTGAAAATAGAATGCATGACATTCATTAAGAAATGCATTAGTTGGCCGAACATTTTTGGAGAAACGGCAACAAAAAAAATAAAAAAAAATAAATAAATTATAATATAGGTGTGCTTTTTTTTTTTAAATTATAAGTATTCTCATATCCAAACAGATAAACACCAACGGAACAAAGCCGGTTGTGCGCCACCTAGCAAACATGTCCGGCATTGCATCTAGAAATACGCCCAACGTGCTTTCGTATTTACGAACAGGAAAGAGCCTAGAAAGTAGACTCTGTAATCAGCTTGCTGGGCACCTTTCTGAAGACTGACAGGTCTTGATTGAATTGAGTCTGCCTGAATGTTCAGTGACTGCTGGTAGACTCAATTCTTAGTAAATCAGGGCCATAGGCTCAGCCAAGGAGCCAGTGTGCTTTATAAATGCGGTTTGAACTTGATTCGCTTTGGGACTCGGAAAAAAGTGAAATCCCATTTATTCTAATAATTGTAAAAAAAAAAAAAAGTGTGCAAGATGCTGGCAGAAACCTGTCACATGCCCTTGAAACATATCCTGTGACATCTCTCACCACCTATGGCCAAGCATTCTTTGCAGCATTATGCAGAAAACACATCACAGACTCCTCATTACGTTCTGCTTTTTATTGCTAGGACATAAATTGCCAGAGCCATGTGCAGTTTTTCTTGTGATGTGTGGAGAGTGGAAGTCGCAGGTCTTTATAGACTTTTTAGCAATTCTGTGCCATAACTGTCACCTTATGTTTTTCAATTTTTTTTCCCCTACAGCTCATGTGCAAAGATCCACAACAGCGCAAAGAACATGTTGCCCACATACAAGATCACCAATTTTTCAATGGTATAAACTGGAAGCGGGGGAGGCACACCCTCCTTTTTTCATATGTCAGAAGGTAAGTAAAGACTTTGAGCAGTGTGTGTGTGTGCGGTCCGCCAACCTGTCAATGTACACATATCATGACACTTTTAGGAGGTTGTTTAGAGGAAAAAAACTTAACCCTAAATAATCTTAAAAATGTCTACTCCCCCTAATATCTGTGTTGACTAACCTATGTAAAAAAAAAAGATGTACATACTTGCATATTTTCAAGCTGCTCCAGTCAGGTCAGGTGATCCGACTTCTTTGTGTCAGCCAGCAGCGGATACAAAAAGAGAGGAAAGAGCTCTGACAATGGCTGGAATGCCTGGAAGTGGTGACATCACACATAGGCTTATATGACACAACCTTTGTTGTGCTCACTCCTCTCCCCTGCAGCCACCGCTGGCTGACACAGGGGAGCCAGATTATGTGAATGGCCTGAAAAAAAAACTAAAATGACATCAATTGTTTATGTAATACAGTAGTAAATGGTTCTTATGTGGTTTCTTCATTGCCACAATTATTCAACCCCTTAAAGACTACCACTCTGAAGAACAGAGGTTCATACAGGTGCTTTCCATCAGGTATTGAAAACACCTGTGGATGTCACCGAGCAGCAATCAAGCATAATAAGCACCAATTAGGCAGCTTTAAAATGACTGTGATACTCAGCTCCTTCTAGACATTTACTGGTGTGGTTACAAACATGGTGAAGGCAAGAGAATGGTCCAGGAAGACAAGAGAAGAGGTGATTTCTCTTCACAGGAAGGGCAATGGCTATAAGAAGATTGCAAAGATGTTAAACATACCAAGAGACACCTTAGGAAGCATCATTCGCAAATTCAAGGCAAAGGGCACTGTTGAAACGCTACCTGGTCGTGGCAGAAAGAAGATGCTGACTTCGACTGCTGTGCGCTACCTGAAGCGTAGAGTGGAGAGAAGTCCCCGTGTGACTGCTGAGGAACTGAGAAAAGATTTGTCAGATGTGGGTACAGAAGTTTCAGCCCAGACAATAAGACGCACACTGCGTAATGAAGGCCTCCGTGCCAGAACTCCCAGGCGTACCCCCTTGCTGTCTCCAAAGAATAAGAAGAGTCGACTGCAGTATGCCAAAAGCCATGTGGACAAACCACAAAAGTTGTGGGATAGTGTTCTGTGGACTGATGAAACAAAATTAGAACTGTTTGGGCCCATGGATCAACGCTATGTTTGGAGGAGGAAGAACAAGGCCTATGATGAAAAGAACACCTTGCCTACTGTGAAGCATGGTGGAGGGTCAATCATGCTTTGGGGCTGTTTTGCTTCTGCAGGTACAGGGAAGCTTCAGCGTGTGCAAGGTACCATGAATTCTCTTCAGTACCAGGAGATATTGGATGGAAACGTGATGCAGTCCGTCACACACCTGAGGCTTGGGAGACGTTGGACCTTTCAACAGGACAATGATCCCAAGCATACCTCCAAGTCCACTAGAGCATGGTTGCAGAGGAAAGGCTGGAACATTTTGGAGTGGCCATCGCAGTCACCAGACTTAAATCCGATTGAGAACCTCTGGTGGGACTTAAAGAAAGCAGTTGCAGTGCGCAAGCCTAAGAATGTGACTGAACTGGAGGCCTTTGCCCATGAAGAATGGGCGAAGATACCCGTAGATCGCTGCAAGACACTTGTGTCAAGCTATGCTTCACGTTTAAAAGCTGTTATAACTGTAAAAGGATGCTGTACTAAGTACTAAGATTGAATGTCACTTGGGGGTTGAATAAAACTGATAATGCTGTGAGCACAGAAAAGACATTTGTGGTTATTTCATTATAACTGTTATGTTATATTTGTCTGACCTACAAGTGCCTCTTTAATGTAAATGTAAGCAAGATGACTGAATGATCAAAAGCAATGTCAAACTGGCCAAAACACTCAATTTCAGTGGGGGTTGAATAATTTTGGTCACAACTGTATATATACACATAGCGCCTGAAATTACACCTAAGTAAAACTAAAAGGCAAAAACTTTTTTTTGGTTGTACATAGAGAGGAGAGGGAGGTAGAACCCTTGTACGTTTTTATTGCTGTCTGCGTCTCTATTAAAGAAATTTACAATGTCTGGCCTGTTTATTATTAACATTGAAAGTTAAAGTAAAGAAAATATAAAATTATGGGTTATCCCCAGAAAAGTTATAGAGGGGAATCTTCCAACGGGAACCCTGGTTCTTGTGACCTGGGGGTCCTCAAGGGATTCTCTTCATTTGCAGGGATTTCCAATACCTGTTTGGCTATGGGACAGGAAGTGAAAGGAAATCTCTGAAATGGGAAGCAGATGGTGAAAAAAATAAAAGAGGACAGCAACAGGCAGACTTCAGATGAGCTCTTACCCTGACTCTCAATCTGAAGACTCAGGAAAAGTGAGTAAAGTGAAATAAGGGGATGCATATAACGCTTTTAGAAGTGAGTTTGCACAATTCTAATATTGGAAAATCCATATCCTTTCTTATGCATAGTGATGACTGATATCTAATATCTCACAGTCCTATGGACAGGGGGAAATTGTTCCCATAAGTCATAGAGGCTTTCATTGAATAGTGGGATCTCATTGTTTTCTCTTTTACAGGGCTTCAGAGACATGACAAGACAGAAAATAAAGCTGGAAGACCTAATGAATGACTTGGATGAAGAAGAAGAACCTTATGAACCTATTTCAGCTGAGGAACAGAAGCTTTTTAATGGCTTTTCCTTTGTAGGTGACGAATGGCGAGCCATGATGAAGATGAAATGAATCCATACCCACCAGGTTGTAGCTTATGGAAAACATAAATCACTGCAAGGCATTTCAGACTGAAATGGTGGTAGAAGGGAGTGGGGGTGGTAAGTCTGCGGTTGATGGGGGGGGGGTCAACCTGGGGTAGATGGGGGTGGGGGGGGGGGTTAGCCTAGGGTAAATGGGGGTAGGTGGGGGGTCAGTCTGGGGATGAGAGGGGGGTGGGGTAAGTTTAGGGTAGGTGGGGTGGGGAGTCATACTGGGGATGGGGATAGATGTTTGGAATAGATGGAAGTGGGGATGTCAGTCTGGGGTATGGGGGGGTGGGATCTGACTGTGATAAAGGGTGGGGGGGGGGAGAGGTCTGTCTGGGGTAGATGGGGGGTAGGAGTGTCAGTCTGGGGTGGAGGGGGGGCAGTCTGGAGTAGATGTGGTGGAGGGATCAATCTGGAGTAGATGGGGATGGAGGAATCAGTCTAGGGGTATAGTGGCAGTGGAGGGGTCAGTCTGGGGTAGATGGGGGTGGAGGGAGTCAGTCTGGGGTAGATGGGGGTGGAGGGAGTCAGTCTGGGGTAGATGGGTGTGGAGGGAGTCAGCTTGGGGTACACCGAGGTGGAGGGGTTTAGTCTGAGGTATAATGGTGGTGGAGGGGTCAGTCTGGGGTATGGTGGCGGTGGAGGGGTCAATCTGGGGTAGATAGGGGTGAAGGGTGATCAGTCAGAGAGGGTGAAGGAGGGTCAGTCTGGGGTGGAGGGGGGGTCAGTCTGGGGTAGAGAGGGTGGAGGGGTCAGTCTTTAGTAGAGGGATTGGTCTTGGGGTATAGTGACGGTGGAGGGGTCAGTCTGGAGTAGATGGGGGTGAGAAGGGGGTCAGTCTGGGGTAGATGGGGATGGAGGGAGTCAGTCTGTGGTAGACAGAGGTGGAGGGAGTTTGGTCTTGGGTATAGTGGTGGTGGAGGGGTCAGTCTGGGGTAGATGGGGGTGAAGGGGGGGGTCAGTCGGGTAGAGAGGGTGAAGGAGGGTCAGTCTGGGGTAGAGAGGGTGAAGGAGGGTCAGTCTGGGGTAGAGAGGGTCGAGGGGTCAGTCTGGGGTAGAGATGGTGGAGGGATCAGTCTGGGGTAGAGAGGATGGAGGGATCAGTCTGGGGTAGAGGGATTTGTCTTTGGGTATAGTGGCGGTGGAGGGCTCAGTCTGTGGTAAATGGGGGGTGAAGGATCAGTATGGGGTAGATGGGTGTGAAGGGAGTCAGTCGGGGGTAGACCGAGGTGGAGGGGGTTTAGTCTGGGGTATAGTGGTGGGTGGGGGTCAGTCTGGGGTAGATGGGGGTGAAGGGGGGGTCAGTCGGGTAGAGAGGGTGAAGGAGGGTCAGTCTGGGGTAGAGAGGGTGAAGGAGGGTCAGTCTGGGGTAGAGAGGGTCGAGGGGTCAGTCTGGGGTAGAGATGGTGGAGGGATCAGTCTGGGGTAGAGAGGATGGAGGGATCAGTCTGGGGTAGAGGGATTTGTCTTTGGGTATAGTGGCGGTGGAGGACTCAGTCTGGTAAATGGGGGTTAAGGATCAGTCTGTGGTAAATGGGGGTGAAGGATCAGTATGGGGTAGATGGGTGTGAAGGGAGTCAGTCGGGGGTAGACTGAGGTGGAGGGGGTTTAGTCTGGGGTATAGTGGCGGTGGAGGGGTCAGTCTGGAGGGGGTTTAGTCTGGGGTATAGTGGCGGTGGAGGGGTCATTCTGGGGTAGATGGGGGTGAATGAGGGGTCAGTCTGGGGTAGAGAGGGTGAAGGGGGTCAGTCTTGGGGGAGAGAGGGTGTAAGGATCAGTCTAGGGCAGAGAGGGTTGAGGGATCGGTCTGGGGCAGAGAGGTTGGAGAAATCGGTCTGGGGTAAATGGAGGTGGGTGGGGGTCAGTCTAGGGTAGATGGGGATGGGGGATTAGACTGGGGTATATTTGCGTGTGGGGGCAGTCTGGGGTAAATGAGGGTGGGGAAGTCAATCTAGGGTAGACTCAGCCAAGCCCAGCTATTTTATATAATGTGTCTTGATCCTGGATCTGGCAAGTAATATTGATTGTAGAGTTTCAGGAAAGGGCACAAAATCCAAAATGCCTTGCAGTGTTTTTATCAGTTTTCCAACAGAAGTTAGTTATCAGCAACACATCAGGTACACAATAAAAACTATTACCACTACCGAGCGGACACCGAAAGAGCACCTCGCTTTTCTACCTCTCCCCAGCTGGCTATTCTGGCGGACTTGCAGACCATTGCAGCAGATATAAAATCTGCCCTCGCGACAGCTGTTGCCGAACTTTGCTTGGATGTCCAAGCCGTGGACCGCATTTTGTTTAATGTACTTGAAATCAAACTATTTCAGGACTTATCCCCAATAACCCTGCAACAACGGTAAATGGTATTGTATAATAATATTGTACAACCTTTGATCACCCATTGCTGCCAGGGCTATGAAATTCTTTTAGTAATGTTTTTAATAATTTAATTTTTTTATATTTCTTAATGAATTAGGATATTCCCTTTAATCCTTATTTCTATTATAACTGATGTATGACTTATATTACCCTGTATCTACGGCTTAATTCTGGTTAGATACACATTGTTTTTTCTTTTTGGTTCATTTGGTTTTTAAAATTTACGGGTATTGACTTAATTCGCCCATACTGGAGAGATAACAACAAACGCTGAGCCATATCAATGCTCGAAACCAGGTGGATTTTTTGAGATGCATACTCTATCACCTCAGGGGCATAATATCGACATTGATATTAATTGTTTTATAGACAACAGTTGAGATACATTTTATTATGCGTTTTTGCACATTGTTTTTTTCAATTACATTCATATATTGTTCCCCTTTGCTTGCCACCTGGGTTTTTTGCGTTTTTTTAGTCATTGGTGACTAGCACTTATCCTAATTTATTCTTTAGGTCCCTTTTTTGTTATTTTTACATATTTTTTATCACCATTTTCAGTTAGCATCTCCAATTTTTTCACTATCTCCAGTTTTATTCTCTCCGGTTTGTATTATCTTGTTTTTTTTCCCTCTTTTTTTGAGTTTAGTCACACATAATCACTGGTTTAATGAGACTAAATAAGATGATTCTATATTTTTATATGTATATTACACACCCTCTCTAGGAGTATTTTAGTATCAACATATAATTTTATAGGTGTTTATATTCATTTTATTTTTATATATCTTACACTCTTTAGAATATTGTTATTATATTATGGTATTACATAATAAAAATAAAAATAATATAATATTAAAGTACAACCTTTGATCACCCATTGCTGCCAGGACTATGACATTTTTTTAAGAGTTTAAGAATTTTTTATATTTATTAATGAATTAGTATATTCCTTTTAATCCATATTTCTATTATAACTGATATATGACATATTACCCTGTATCTACGGCTTAATTCTGGTTTGATACACATTGTTTTTTCTTTTTGGTTCGTTTGGTTCCCCTGGTACCTGTTGTCCCTTACAACTACAACAACATGGCAACCGTGGTGTTTTTAGTAATTTTTTCCAAATTTTTTTTGTCATAACCGGTTGGTAATATATTTCATATTTATCTATAGCTTGATATACAGTTTGGGATTCAGTTATTTTTGTCTAATACATTGTTTATAATCTTTAATCCACTCCGGTTCTTGCATACGATATGGTGATCCGATGGTCTTCTTCAAAATGGCGCCCGATCACGGAGGCGCTTGGGGCTATATAAGTCCAAGACGTCGTGGCAGGCAGATCCCTTTGACAATGTGCATGCGCACAAAATGCGTTAGGGAGTAGCCTGCTGTGCTGACGTCACGCCGCCGAGTCCGCATGGAGGGCCGGAGGCCATTTTTGTAAGTGTTGCAGCCTCTTGTTTTAACATATACACGTGGATTATTTTACTTTCACCACCTAATAAAGAATACTACACTATTAGCACTCTTGTTTGTGGCTTGTTTTTGAAAGCCATTTCCCTTAAGGTGGTATATATCGTTTTTGGCATCTTCCATCTATGGTGGGGAGGGACCCTTTGAGCCATCCCTGCAGGCTATTAGAAGCCAGTGTTTGGTGGTCTGGAGTCTTCCCTGTATGCTGCTAGAAGCCAGTGGTCTTCCCTGTATGCTGCAAGAAGTTTTTGGAGTTCCTTGCCTACTTCCACCGTGAAGGAGCTGGATTTGATTTCATGCACAATATACATGCGCTTCTGGTGAGTGCATTCATACAGCAATCCCTTAGCAGGGAGTCACCAGCACAGATATTTCACTGAGTTTGTTTGGACTTTATTTTATATTTATTATATATTTTTTAATTATCATTATTTTTGATTTCATACATGTTGAATGATTCACGATTGTCACTTATATATATTCAGTCACTTTTGTCACTTTATTTGTTCATTGATTTATTATATAGCGCTGCATTTTTACCATTTATTTATTTTTTGAGGATATAGGGGTTTATCCTTTCATGCTAGTTGCTTTATATCTCATCGTGCAGTCGCTTGTTTTCCTTCTTCTATGATATCTTGTTTATACCTCTATTATTTTGAACTGCCGATTTAGCCCACACATTAATATACGGTTCTCTTCATATCTATATTATTTCTTACACATACATATCATTCCTTCATCTATCAGTTATATCCATTCTTTTCATTATGGATATTTTTGAATTAACATCAAGAGATCTGTGATCTCTGATGAAGTTTTTACACGAGGAAGTAGGTAATCTACATGGCCTTTTTAATACATTTACAAAACCATGCCACATCTGAAATTAGAACACTATGGGACATTTTGTTTTTGGAGAAATATGTAAAAGATGGTATGGTCCCAAGGTCTTTGAGATGGGAGGTATCCCCTAAAACATATGATACTAACAGCGATGTAAAATGGTATCAATTTTTTTTATAACATGGGTATAGATTTACTAAAATTTTTGATCTTGAAAAAGAAAAAACTGATACATCTAGATACTGAAATTAACAAAACACGGGAAAAACTAGCCCT